GGGGGTATGATACCGTGAGTCATTGCCCTGGGTGAGCCCAGCCCTAGTGACATCACTGTGTGAAGGCCCTGGGAGGAAAAGGGTGAACTGGCCCTGCCGTCCAGCGGGGTTGGGCAGTGGAAGGGAGTCCTTGGCTGAGGACAGGGCAATGGGGGCCTGGGGAGAGGGGACTGTGGGAGGCAGTAGGCCTTGGGTCAGCATATCCCCTTTCGCGCCCCCTTTGCAAAGCTGCACACCCCCAGCCTTTGAGCTGAGCCTTGAGCTGAATCCCCAGCCCCGCCCTCAACCTCCTCCTTCCAATCAGCGCTAGGACTATGCACCCCACGGTTGCTTCTCCACCCCAGCATCGGTGTGGTGGTGACATCATCTGGTGCCAACTTGAGACCATGAAGAGGGAAGGGGTGGAGTCTACCCTGTCAATCAGGTCGCAGCTTGATGGCCTCATTTGGAGACACTAAGGAGATAAATAGCTCGCTGGAGGTGGAAAACACACTCTCTCTGCTTGACTTTCCTGTTGACAAGCCACATTGAAACCCCTGATGGAGCCAGAGCCCTGGAGCTGGAGGAGCCACGTGGAGAGCCACACCAGTGCTGAGATGCTTCCACTGCCACTGGATCCACAAGACTTTCCACCTACTGGCCTGTGATCTTCCTGCATTCAGCGGCATTGCTTGTGTTTCGTGAGTCTGAAGAGGAATTTATAGATTGGTATCGGACATACAGGCTAATATCGGACTTAAGGACTTGATCTGGACTGGGCTGGGATGTCTCTCAATATACTATTTCTCTTGTATATTTCTCCAGTCCACCCACACTAACACAATCAGTAAGCCCCCGAAGGGCCTCCCTGCTGGCCCTACTCTGGTCTCTGCCCTCCCCTCTGCCCTGGTGGACCTGGGTTATCCCCTGAGGGCTGTTCCCATGGAGGCAGGCAGTCATGAAGGGGCGGGGCTTGGCTTTCTGGGAGCTCCTCCTGCAGCCACCCATTCTCTCCAGAGTGGGCTCACCCCATCGTCGAATATTCTAGAGTCACATCAGGACCGTCCCTTCCCAGCTCCTCCCCTTCCCCTGGAGTTTGCTGTCCCTGCTTTCTCATGTTCAGGGTGCTCGGCTGGGTGGTGTAGAGACAAAAGCACTGACTCACCTCTAGGTGCGAAAAGGCACTTCCTACCAAGAAGTAACTTTTCATCTGTGTCCCTTTCGTACGTGGTGATTGGGCTTCCACGCATTTGAGTGGCATGTGCCGCCCATCAACCTTGTCCGATGTCTGCACATTACCCGTCTGATACATTAAAACGGAAGTAATTTTATATCCAGGAAGCAGCCCCGCCTGGCCCGACTCAAGTCCGTGGGCCGGATGCTGGCTTCTTCAGACTCACATGGCTGCAGGCAGGTGACGGTGACACAGAAAGGTGAAGAGTCAGGCAGCCAAGGTCAGCGGGAGCATGGGGGGGGCCAGCAGTTCTCGGGGTCTCAGGCACAGAGGCCCAGCAAGCAGGAAGGGGAAGGGGCGGAGAGAGGAAGGACAAGGTCTCACTGTCTCTTGCAGAAAAGGCCACACCCCCAGGAGGCATCATCAGGCTGACACTGATTGACAGGTTGAAGTACACCCCTACACTTTCATAAGAACAGATCTAACTACTGCATCCAGGTAACTCTTCAACCCTCTCCCACCAGCTTCTGCTCCTCCTCTCTACCCCACTCCCATCAAGCCCAACCATGACCCCAGGTGGCTAAATCTTTGTCCCCATCCGGTCAGCTTCTTGGCAAATGGCCAAAGCATTCCCTCTTGGCCCGACTCTCAGCTCTGTTCTTCCTCTCGGCTGCCAGGTCCCCCTCCC